GAGATCCTGTACCCGGAGATGGACATGACCGAGATTGTGCACGACACCTGCCTGGTGAAATGCATTCGGGTGACCGACTGCAAGAGCCTATACGACGCGATCGCAAAGGAGAATATTTCTATGACGGACGGGAGGCTTTCTTTGGAAACGGCTATATTGCGGCAGTCACTCAAAGAGGTCAGCATCAAGTGGGTCAAGAGCGAACAGATGCTAGCAGACTGTTTGACGAAAATACTTCCACGAGGCTACGCGAGGAAGATAGTTACATCAAATTTGTGGAATCTTGGGCCTGATGACAGGGCACCATCAATACGCGGACGAAAGCTTGTTGGACCAGAGAAGGTGGCAGCCAACAAAGAGGTAGACGAGCTAAACGCGAAGATGGCCAAGTACGTCAAGCAGGAGCTGTGCGACGACACCGGGAGAGACGACGAGGAGATCACTACGTGGCCGGTGGAGACGTACAACTACGTGGATGAGTGCTTCTACGACGATAAGGACGAGACTCAATACGAGGATTACGTCGAGGCATTCTACACGGAAGAGCTGGCGGACAACTACCCGATGGGGAGGAGTGGTGCGCAGAGAACCAGATACCTGACCAAGTTGTAGTTATGTTTCAACTCTGTGCACTTGCAGTGTATGGAGTTTGTCTTTCGATGTCTCCTACGGTGGTGACAATAGTCTCTATCATCGCGGGTATCATCATATTCATCTACACCATGCAGCCTAAGCAGGCCGACGACGAGGACACGGCTGAGCCGACGGAGGTGGATAGTTCAAGCAGCGACAACCTGTTCAAGCCGGAGTTGCCCGAGAAGCCGGTCAAGGTCAAATCCAGGACGGCGAAGGCTACGCCGAAAGCTACGACAACAACACTCGCAGTACGAGCCGATCCAGAGACCTATGACGACCAGATCATGGAAGATGGACCAATCATGCTGGGAGATAGTGCTCTACTGAGGCAGTGGCTGGAGACCATGGGACCGACGATAATCAGGAGTGGCAAGTACGAGGGTGACAGCTACGAGACGATCTATACGAAGGGCAGGCACTATGCAAACTGCCTAGGACGGTGTCTCAAGCTGGACGCAGACGAGAGCAGGAGTTATAACCTCGACCCGAGCATCAATTGCTACATTGCATACAGCATCATCAAGTCAGCAGTGCGTGCACGCTGAATTCCACTACCAAATATGTAACGATATCTTTGAGCCAGCCATGGCAGTGGCTCAGATGTGAATGGTGGTGAGGATGATGAGTGATTTGGATTGCTATTTACAGATGCTGAGTGAAAGCGCCCCCTCAAGAGCTCAGATAAAGATTTGTATATCTTGGTATCTGTTGCTCGGTGCGCAGACATCATGTACATATTTTTATATCATACTATATGTTGCTCGGTGCGTGGATTTCTTTTATGTTGAAATATGTTGCTTGGTGTACGGACGGTAGCTTGACCGTTCGAGCCGATAATATTATTGAATTTTCTAGAAGCTTGCTGCAGAATTCGCCAAGGCATTATTTAGCAACGTTTCCTTTTCCTGTGTGAAAGTTGTATTAGCAGGGATGTGATATATAGGAAGATAACTAGAATTATCTCTGCTGCTGCTCTCGCTCGCTCATGCTTGCACTATCTTGTTCACCGCGGCCGTTTTGGCTGTGGGCCCGCCAGCTTTGGCGGTAGGGTGGGCGCATTCAACGACTGTCTAGCCTGATTCGGTATAACATCAGATCAGACTCTATCTATTTCTTCTTGCATCAAAAGGTTGTGGGTGGAGAGATTTGTATCAACATTTACACCAGGGCTCAGGGATCATGGCTCCGGGATTCGGGGCGGAAATCACATGGCACGGGGCGCAGTTCTCAGGGCGCAGGGCGCAGAGCCCAGGGCTCAGGGATCGTGGCTCAGGGCTGAAGGCTCGGGGCGCAAGGAGCAGAGCACGGGGCACAGGGCTCAGGCCTGAGGCCACCGGGCTTAGGGCTCAGGGTCCAGGGCCCAAAGCGCAAGGCTCAGGGTTCGGGGCTCACGGCCCCAGATTCCCGGGTGTCCTCTTGGTTGCTGGAGACCCCTTTGCATTCTTCAAGATGCCTCTGGATTCCTTTGCGTTCCTTCGGTTTCGTCTGGTGTAACCTGGGATCCTTCAAAGTCCTCTGGATTCTGGAGGGTTCCCCAATCTTTTCGGGGGTCTCCAAGTTCCCTCAGGATTCTTGCGGGTTCTGGCACACCCCTCACCCGGTTCGTGGCCCCACAAGGAGCTCCACCGAAGGCCCCAATGGCAAGGTTTACGTGCGCCCCCGCGGCTAATTCCGGCACGCATGTCACAAAGTTCGCGGCCACCACCGAAGGCCCCAATGGCAGGGGTCCCCGCGATTCACGTCGGCACGCCCCTCGCACGGTTCGTGGCGCCATAGGGAGTTCCACCACAGGCCCCAGTGGCAAGTTTACGTGCGTCCCCGCGATTCATGTCGGCATACCCCTCACACGGCTCGTGGTGCCATACGGAGCTCCACCACGCGCCGTAGTGGCAGCGTTAAAATGCGCCCCCGCGACTGATTTCGGCACACGCGGCTCGCTGCCCCATCGGGAGCCCCACCGAAAACCCAATGGCCGGGTTTACAAGCGTCCTCGCGCTTCATTTCGGCACACCCTTCGCACGGTTCGTGGCCCCATAGGCGTCGGCTCCTCGCTGGGCGCGGCGTGGTCCAGGTCTAGCGGGATCCAATCGAGGAGCATGTCGGGATCTGAAGGAATGCTCTGGCGGCTGGGAAACGCTCCACTTTTACTGGAACCTTAATGGGGAGCAATTCGCCTCAGCGTCGTTGTGAATATACGTTGCTTGTTTTGTTTATGATTGTTTTTCTTTCCGAGCGCGGCCCCGAACCCGAACCCGAACGCGAACCTCTACTCGCTTCACACCCTCTTTAAGCGGAACAACAACCCCGAACAGCCCTAGTAGTAGTAGTAGTAGTAGTAGTAGTCGTCGTAGTAGTAGTAGTAGTAGTAGTAGTAGTAGTAGTAGTAGTAGTAGTAGTAGTAGTAGTAGTAGTAGTAGTATAGTAGTAGTAGTATTAGTAGTAGTAGTAGTAGTAGTAGTAGTAGTAGTAGTAGTAGTAGTAGTAGTAGTAGTAGTAGTAGTAGTAGTAGTAGTAGTAGTAGTAGTAGTAGTAGTAGTAGTAGTAGTAGTAGTAGTAGTAGTAGTAGTAGTAGTAGTAGTTAGTAGTGTAGTAGTAGTAGTAGTAGTAGTAGTAGTAGTAGTAGTAGTAGTAGTCAGTAGTAGTAGTAGTAGTAGTAGTAGTAGTAGTAGTAGTAGTAGTAGTAGTAGTAGTAGTAGTAGGTAGTAGTAGTAGGAGTAGTAGTAGTAGTAGTAGTAGTAGTAGTAGTAGTAGCAGTAGTAGTAGTAGTAGTAGTAGTAGTAGTAGAAGTAGTAGTAGTAGTAGTAGTAGTCGTAGTAGTAGTAGTAGTGGTAGTAGTAGTAGTAGTAGTCGTAGTAGTAGTAGCAGTAGTAGTAGCGTAAGTAGTATTAGTAGTTAGTTAGTGTAGCAGTTAGTAGTGTTAGCAGTAAGGGAGTAGTCCGTTGTAGTAGTAGTCAACAGGTAGTAGGTAGTAGTAGTAGAGTAGTAGTAGTAGGTAGTAGTAGTAGTAGTAGTAGTAGTAGTAGTAGTAGTAGTAGTAGTAGTAGTAGTAGTAGTAGTAGTAGTAGTAGTAGTAGTAGTAGTAGTAGTAGTAGTAGTAGTAGTAGTAGTAGTAGTAGTAGTAGTAGTAGTAGTAGTAGTAGTAGTAGTAGTAGTAGTAGTAGTAGTAGTAGTAGTAGTAGTAGTAGTAGTAGTAGTAGTAGTAGTAGTAGTAGTAGTAGTAGTAGTAGTAGTAGTAGTAGTAGTAGTGTAGTAGTAGTAGTAGTAGTAGTAGTAGTAGTAGTAGTAAGAATAATTGTAGCGGCGTCCTCGCCCTTGGTTGGCGTGCCCACGCCGAGGGCCTTGTACGCCGCTGCGTAGAAGGCCAACGGGCACCGCGGGTACGCCTGCGGCACCTGCGGCGGAGCACGGGAATCATATTTCCGCACGATAACCGCGAAGCGCGGCCCCGCGACCAGCGCGCCGGAGACGCTTTGACCCCTGGCGCCTGCCCGGCGGCTGCCTCCAGGAAAGCGCCCCGCTGGAAGACGCCCTGGCCCAGCTGCTTGCCTGCGCGAGCGGCGTACTCCCGCTTGAGCTGCCCCGCGGCCAGGTCCTTGTTGAACCTGCTGACGGGAACACTTAAAAGCACCACGAATAAGGGCTGGATGATAAGAAGGATGTGCAACAATTTGGGCGCACCATCCCCGATAGGGTATACCGTGAACCACACCCGGGCCAACCACACGAAGAGCAGCTAGTCAGCCAAACTTTCGGACTGCACCTCCTGACGGATGTTCAAGTCCGTGCTGCCGTGCTGCTCAATTGGAAGCTGACCTCGCCGCGGGCGTGTTCAGGCCATTCTGCGCGGCAAAGGTGTTCCACGACTCCCGGCATGGCCTTCGCCTTCTCAAAGTGAGCGGCCGCGACCTCACGGGCGCGACAATCGCATGGATTGCTCCGCTGGCCCACAAGGAGACGTGACTCCACGTCTTGATCAAACTGAAATAGAAGGCGAGCAACCCATGAGATTGTTGCGCCCTGGGGCCTGCGCGCCGTGGACCTTCTCCATGGCCGCCGACCCGTGCGCCACCAGCTCGGCGACGCAGTCGGCCCTCGTCGAGGAGCCTCTGTCAAGCCTGGAGAGCTTGTCGTCCTCCGGGTTCGGCAACCCACCGCGGGCGAGGCAGCAGGGCTGCCCTGCAGCGTTGAAACACCGGGCGCGGCGTTCGCTGCCGAGCGCCTGGGCGGGTGGTCTGGCGTGCGGAAGCGGCAGACCGCTGGCCGTAGCGCACACTGGCCGAGTGACATAATAATGCAATCCTTATCCTCCCCCTCCTCCTCCTCCTCCTCCTCCGCCTCCGCCTCCTCCTCCTCCTGGAGGAGGCCGCGGGCCAAAAAAGTGGACGGAGGTGGTCCGCTGGCGGGCCCAGGGGAGGAGGAGGGACGTCTCTCCTGGGCGCGGAAGGGAACAGGGAGGAAAAGGGGGCCGTCGCGGGCGGCTAGGCGCCAGGGCGTGGGAGGCCTGGCGGCCTCGCGGCGCGGCGAAGCGCCCGAGGCGCCCGAAGCGCAGGGGGGGGCTCCCAGGCCTCCCGAGGCCGCGTTCCTCCTCCTCCTCCTCCTCCTCCTCCTCCCTCCTCCTCCTCCTCCTATTCCTCCTCCTCCTCCCCCCCTTCCTCCTCCTCCCCCTCCTTCCCCTCCTCCTCCTCCTCCTCCTCCTCCTCCTCCTCCTCCCCCTATTCCCCTCCTCCTACTACTACTTCTTGTCCTGCCCCTGCTCCTGGTCCTGGTCCTGGTCCTGCTCCTGCTGATCCTCCAACCTCCTCCAACCTCCTGCTCCTTCCTCCTCTCAAGACTGCCCCAGGCAGGGTGCCCCCCGAAATCTTCCAAGAGGCCCCTGGGAAACACCGTTAGAAACGCTCGTATTTCTCCCAGGGAGCCTCCCGACCACAACCCGGGCACGAAAGAGCGGGCTCGGCCGGAGGCCACCGGATCCCCTCCGCGATCGTCGCATGCTGTCGCTCCTTCTGGCGGTTGGCGGAATGGCGTAAGCCAGTTGAATAAAACAGTTTGTTTGCCCAGTGGATTAAACAGTTTGTTTGCCCAGCGGTTTGAATAAAACAGTCTGTTTGCCTAGCGGTGTATGCAAGCGAGTCTTGAGCAAAATGCTATACGCACACCAGACTCATCTCTATAGCGCTCACTTCTATAGTGCTCACGTTCAAATCGAAGTCCAGAAGGGGTCGCACATGCCGGCACATGCCGCACAGTCGAATGCACATGCCCATGCAACTCCACAAAAGCCTCAACAGCACTGCCGCGCATGCGCGCACATGCCGCACAGTCCGATGCACAGTCGGATGCATAGTCTGGTAAAACTCTGAAAACATAAAACGCACATGCGCGCGCATGCAGCAGAGTCGAAAAATCGGAGGAGAAGGGAGGGACAAATGAGCAGGAAAGAGGAATGAGGGGAGAAGCGAGGGAAACAAAAGAAGCTAATGCGGCTGGCACTCAAACTGAAACACCATACCCGCATAAGGGATGTGGCATGATATGACACCAATCCAACACAAGGATGGGGTCAGCGCTGTAATGTAGATCACGCGAGGATGTCTCAGGCGAAAAGGGCCTGACCACCTGAGCGCAAGGCATCTCGGAACCCAGAGTTGTGAGGATGTCTCAGGCGAAAGTGGCTGGATCACCATAGGGCAGGGCATCTCGAAGGTCAGAGTTGCGGGGATGCCGCAGGCGAAAGTGGATGGACCACCTGAGCTCAGGGCATCTCCGAGGCCAGAGTTGCGGAGTTGTCTCAGGCGACAGTGGCCTGACCACCTCAGCGCAGGGCATCTCGGAACCCAGAGGTGCGAGGATGTCTCGGGCGAAGGTCGCCAGACCACCATGAGCAAGGGCATCACCGAGGTCCGAGTTGTGGGGATGTCTCAGGCGACAGTGGCCTGACCACCTCAGCTCAGAGCAGATCGGATGCCAGAATTGCGAGGACGTCTCTGGCGAAATGGGCCTGCCCACCTCCTCAAGGCATCCCGGAACCGTTGCGAGGATGTCTCAGGCGAAAGTGGCCGGACCATCATGGGGCAGGGCATCTCCGAGGTCAGAGTTGCAGGGATGTCGCAGGCGGCATGGGCTTCTCGGAACCCAGAAAGCGAGGATTTCTCTGGCGAAAGTGGCCTGATCACCTCAGCGCAGGGCATCTCGGAAACCAGAGCTGCGAGGATGTCGCAGGCGACATTGGCCAGACCGCCATGTGGCAGGGCATCTCTGGTCACATAGAGTTGCGAGGATGAGTAATGTGAAAATGATCTGTCCACCTGAGTTCAGGAAATCCCAGGCCATCATGGGGCAGGGCATCTCCGAGGTCAGAGTTGCGGGGATGCAGCAGGCGAAAATGGATGGACCACCTGAGCTCAGGGCATCTCGGAAACCTGCCCAGCCGACCATGGCCTGGCCGGCCCCCGCTTTCTTGCACGTTCCGCACATGCCCCGCACAGCATTTGCACAGGCCGGGCCAGGCAAGCGACGGCCCTAAACCCTAAAAGACACCAAGCTCGCATTCAAAATGAACATGAGGCGTCTCGTGAGACAGCGAGGCTTCCCATGGGACAGCACGCCCCCGGAAAACTCTCGGCGCCTCCTTCGGCACAGCCCTCACGCAGACCGAGGCCTGCAAGGACTGTTGGCACCTTGTGTGGGGGCATATCCGAGGTCAGCATTGCGAGGATGTCTCAGGCGACAGTGGCCTTACCATTTGGGTTCAAGGAATTTCAGAACCCAGAGTTGCGCGGATGTCTCAGGGGAAAGCGGCTGGATCACCATAGGGCAGGGCATCTCCGAGGTAAGACTTGCGAGGATGTCTCAGGCCAGAGTGACCTGACCCCCGCAGGTCAGGGCATATCCGACGTCAGAGTTGCGAGGATGTCTCTGGCGAGGATGGCCTGACCACCTGCGCAGGGCATCTCGGAAACCAGAGCTGCGAGGATGTCTCAGGCGAAAGCGGATGAACAACAGGGCATCTCTGAACCCAGAGTTGCGAGGATGTCGCAGGCGACAGTGGCCTGACCACCTCAGCGCAGGGCATCTCTGAGGTTGGAGTTGCGCGGATGTCCCTGGCGAAAGTGACCTGACCACCTGCTCAGGGCATCTCGGAAACAAGAGTTCAGACCACACTGCCAACGTGGGCTGACCACCGCAGGTCAGGGCATCTTGCCATCCAGAGTTGCAAGGATGTCTCAGGCGAAGGCGGATGGACCAACTGAGCTCAGGGCATCTCTGAAGCCATAGTTGCGAGGATGTTTCAGGCGACAGTGGCCTGCCCGCCTCAGCGCAAGGCATCTCGAACCCAGAATTGCGAGGATGCTTCGCGCGAAAATAGCCAAACCACCATGTGACACGGCATCTCGGAGGTCAGCGTTGCGAGAATGCCTCAAGCCACAATGGCCTCACCACAATAGGGCACGGCATCTCCGAAGCCAGAGCCTGATTGCCGCGGGAAACTTTGGGACCCCCCCCAGGCCCCGAAGGTCACGAAGCGCTGAAGGCCCTTGTAGTGGGGAGCCCTGAAAATTCGGAGAACGCATGTGCGTGCATGTGCATCGGCATGTGCGAGCATGTGAGGGCGCGGGACTCAGCGCATGTGCGTGCATGTGCGGGCCCCCGCTGTCGTCCGCAGGGGGGGGCACAGGCGAGTGCGTGCATGTGCCACTGACCGATCTGCGAGTTCCGCACATGCTCCGCATGTGCGGGCATGTGCGTGCATGTGCATCGGCATGTGCGAGCATGTGCGAGCATGTGCGGGCGCGGGATTCAGCGCATGTGCGTGTAAGGGCCATTGACCGATCTGCGATGTTCGCACAAGTTCCGCATGCGCGGGCACGCGCGGGCATGTGCGTCAGCATGCGCGGGCATGCGCGTTACAATACATGCCGCGAAACCCAGCGCACATACCCCGCACATGCCCGGGCACGTGCGCACAGCAGGACACTCATCCGAAAGCGCCCGCACATGCCGGGCACATGCCTGGCACATGCTGCGCGCATGCACGCACGTGCCCGCGCAAAAACGGCCGCGCATACTTTTTGATCCGGGGGTCGAGAGCGAGCCTCTTCCAGTCGAAGCTAAGCGGGCCGCGCACAGCTTTAATTGACAGAGGGGGGAAGGCAGAAGGAGGGGCCTCACGTCAAGGCCAAGAGAGGGCAAAGCCCCGGAACCAGGCGGTGCCGAAGGCGAAGTGCATGCAAAAGAACGCCATGTACAGGAACCCGGAGGCGAAGTACCTGAAAAGCAAAATGCTGTGATGGTGGTGCCGTCAGCGGCGCTTCATGTACACGGCCGCACATACACCCACCCAGGGGTATAGAAGTGAGTACGGTGTAGGCGGAGACAGCACAGTGGACCGTCTTGGAGGCAATATGCAGCCATGCTGGCCGTCTTGGGAACCATCTTGGGATGTGTTAGACCCTTTATGGGGGGGTCTTCGGCCTCCCCATCTTGGAGCATCCTGGACGCATGCTGGGATGATATACGAAGACGTACAGGGCCATGCACGCGGCCGCGGGAACTATCACTGGCCGTATTCGGACCCGGCCGTCCACAGCGTCGGAGGTCCGGCTTTCCTGCCCGATTTGGAGGATGGCCGGCTAGGCATGGGTCGTTTGTTAGAGCTCGGGGGGGTGCCTCGTCGCCACGGCTGCGAGAAGTTTGGAAAGCTTGGCAGCTTGGATCACGGGGGGCCAGCTGCCACGTCCTCCTTTGCTCCTGGCTTTGCTCCTGCCATTGTTCCTCGCCGCGCAAAAGAAAGTAGCTGAAATGGAAAACACGACCGCGCGCGGCCGAAGCCGCTGAGGAGGCGATCCGAACTGCTCGTGCACTGAATCTCGCGACCAAGGCCGCGGAAAGAACGAGGCAAAATGCCAGCGAGCAATCGAGTCAAAGCAATTGCTGGCCACGCGTCTGGGGGCGAGCGACATGTCTGATCAAAAATACAAGATAAGGCTGCCGCGCGTCTGGGCAAGAAAAGCAGCGATGCACAATGGCACCCATTGCAAAGCTCTGCCCTGGCCCTGAGCTGGATCTGGCGCAGGCCGCGCGAACTGCAGAGCAACGAATGGTGGCAACCGCCTCCAGCGGCCATCGCCCGTCCAAAACTCCGCGTCGCCATTGATGGTTGGGAATGGGAACTGCCCGTAGCTAGCAGGGGACAGAAACAATACCGCCCGCACCAGCCAGATGGGCAATCAGTCATGTCGCCTTACTCTTTCAGAATCACGTGGTATTTTCTCTGGCCAACGTGGCCCATGAAACAACCCGACCGTGGGGGGCAAGGCAATGCTGGTTCTCTCCCCTGGATCAAGCGCTCGAGGCACTTCCTAGCGTAGCGGGTATCGGGGCACTGATCGCACTCCAACTTCAGTTTCCGAGGGAAACCCGCGCGGCTCCAACCACCTGGGGGGCGCTAAGGGGCTGCGCACCAATGCCAATGATCGGATGCCCCCTTCACCCCTATTCTCATCGCCTTCGACGCCACACCCACCGCAACCGCCTCAACCCAGAAACCCGACAAGCGCCATAGAACCAAATATAGGGTGGGAAACCATTGGCAGAGGTGCGGTTAGCCCCCCTTGCACACCGCATTTGACGCAAAAACCACAATGCGGAACGATTTCAGCGCGTGGGTGATGTGAACGTCCTTCGCCAGGCGATGCTACGCGAGCGACGTGCGCCATGGGTGGTTGTTGGGCAGATCATCACCGTCCTTGGCCACCTGCACGAGGAACACATCGCCGGCTCGATGGGCCTGCAGGTATCTGTGCGGCTATGGCGAACGAGATCGGCCCCTGCGGTGGGCAGCCATCACGCGGCCGCCAGGGCGAAGTGAGCGAAATGCGAAAGCGCAGAAACCTTGCGCCGCAAAATGACGACGCGGGTGACGCGGAGAGGACGATGGAGGGCCCGCAAAGGAAATGGAGGAACACGCATGCGGAGCATTGGGGCGCAGATCAGCACGCACAACACACGAGGCTGGAGCACCTGACCTGAGGCAGCGAAGAAACACCATGAAGAGGAAGACGCGTGCGTCTTGCAGGCCTGCTGAATCCTTCCGAACCTACCATGAACCTTGCGAACAACTGAAGCCAAGCGAACCCAGGAGGATCTAGCTGTAGCCACGGACGCAACCTGCCCTCGTGACCGGGGCAAAACACCGTCAAGAAACTCCGAACCTTCCCCGTGGGATCTGCCGGTTCCTATACAGAACCTATCGAAACACAGCGGTTTCCGATCGCAGGCAAAATCTAAGGAGCAGCCGAGACGTTGCAAAAAAGGAGGCCGCGCGAAGCCAAAACAAGACGTCGTCAGAAACCACGGGGGTTCTATGCCAAAGAACAGATCCCACGGGAATTTGCCCAACGAAAACAAGCCGACGGGAGAGATGGATGACATTGACCGCGGCGCGACGCGCGAACTGCGCAGGATGGCAAGGGACATCCCCAGAACCGACGCGTTTTCCACGGCTGCGGCCGCCATTGATTCTGAGGCGCTAGCGGCACAGAGCGAGCGAGAACAACAGAGACGAATAGTGAGATAGCGAGAAAGGCAAGAGAGAGAGAGAGAGCCGAAAAAAAACAGATTGATAGAAAGAGAGAGAGAGAGAGAGAGAAAAAAAAAACAAAAAAGAGAGAGAGAGAGAGAGAGAGTGAGAGAAAGAGAGGGAGAAAGAGAGAAATATAATGAAAATGAACAAGAGAGAGAGAGAGAGAGAGAGAGAGATGCGCGGGGAGGGCCGCGCAGGCGTAGGCAAAAGAAACAACTGCCCCGCGCAGAAGAACCTCTGCGGACACAGCCCGAGCTGCCCGCGCAGTGGCTCGCGCCGGAAATACTCAACCTCGCGACCGGGGCCGCGGACAAAGACTGCCAAATTGCCGGCGCGCGTTCGATTACAAACAAAGGCTGCCGAAGCGTCCGCAGGCAAGCGACATATTGGGCCAAATCACCGCAAACTGGGGCAGCCGCGCGCGGCCGAAGCCGCGGCGGAGGCGATCCGAAGTGCCCGTGCAATAACAATCTCTGGGTATACTGAATCTCGCGACGGGGGCCGCGGACAGAAGGCCAAACTGTCAACTTGCACTCTGGGGCGCAAGTTCTGGCCACGCGTCTGAAAGCCAGCAGCAGATTTGGCCAAAACGCCAAAATGAAGCGGCCGCGCGCGGCCGAAGCCGCGGCCAGGCCAAGAAAAAACTGCGCTCGACCAGTCGACTCTTCTGGAGGTACACGTGACACGAAACGCATCATGCCTCGAAGTGAGCGACGCCGACGCGAAGACGCGTCAAACGCTTCTGAGCAGCGGTGGAAGCGCGAATGTCCTCCGAGCTGCGCTTGCGGAGTCGCAAGACTTGATGCCCGCGACCGCCGTCCTCACCGACGTCCTAAATGCCGTCATCGCGCAACTGTTGTATCGCCTCCCTAAGGACGTTCCGGAAGCCCTGCACGCCCCGGAGCTGGTGCCGCAACCGCTGCCGAAGCATGACATTTGTCACCTCCACCCCGCTCGGGAACCTGGATTCGGAGAGGACGCGCTGCTGGATCAGCTCCATCACGCTCAACTGGCGCGGCGCCTCCGCCCCTCCGGGCCTCCATGCGGCGGCGGAGGGTCCTCCGCTTCCGCCGCGAAGTAACGCCCATGGTGCAGGTGCAGCTGGCGCAGCCATATCCGGAGGGCATAGGCGGTCTCGTGAACGCCCCGCGGCGAAGGCCTCGCGCGCCCGTCGGGCGAGAGATCCACGCGCGTGCGAATCAAAAGGTACTGCCCCCAGCGCATCATGACTTTGCCGTACTTGCAGATGTCCGAATCAGCGTGCCCGAGTTTCTCCGCCCAGTACCTGTAGAGGCGAGGCCGCGATTGTTCGAAGTCCGCCACGGCCGCCAAGGCTGCCTCGATCATGGCGTACGCGTAGCGGCCTGGGCAATTCACTCCCTGCGCGGGCTCCGCATGCTCGCCCATCCACCCGAAGAAGTCTTTCGAGAACGGAACGGAACCCTCAGTGGATTGTTCCGGGTTGCTCATGGACGCCGCCTGCGCGAAGACCACGTGGAACCGTTTCGCGAAATCGCCCACCGTGGGCCTGCTTACCTCTACCACGGGCGGGGCCTGACCGTGCGCCAGGTGGAAAAAGCCCTACGAAGACAACTGCTCGGGCGCCCCGCCCGTCACCGACGAATCCCGCTCGCACTGCACGAGGGTGCACAGCTTCGCCTTGTTCGCAAGGTGCATCCCAGAACCTTATTCGGTTAGACGCGTCTTGTAGGCCGTGGAGACCTCGTCGGTGGAGAGGCCGCTGCGGCTGAAGTTAAAGATGTTGGTCCGATGGCCGCGCAATGTTCCGTCAGCCGCCAAGCGCTGCCCCCTGTGAGGCCCCTCCTCAGGCGATGCGAAAACTACACTGTCGGACGCCAGATGCAGCAGGGGCAGGAAAAAAGGCAAGCGGGGCAAAAACTAATAGCCCAGGGCGTTCGGCTTGCTACCTGCCTGTCAAGCTCTTCGAACTCCCCGCGCAACCCCGGGGGGGGTCCTGCTGCGCGATTACTGCAAGCCATCTGAAAAAATCGAACCGTTGCCCGTGGGATCTGCTGGCTCCTATACGGAACCCATAGAAATACTGCAGGACAGCGCAGTTGCAGAATATCCGCAACTGCAAACGACATAACGAAAGAGGCGGCGGCGCGACGCCAAGATGCTCAAATGTGGGCTTGTACGCAAACCAACAGATCCCACGGGAAGTCGCCCCAGGAAAACCAAACACTTTGCAGCCAAGCGCGACTTCACCTCTGCAGACGCGACGCGACAGTACACAGCGAAAATGGAAAGAAAAGGCCCCTGGACTCGTTGGGCGGCCGCATATCCTCGACGCGCTCGTCGTCCGAGAAAGTCTCCGTGACGAACCGATGCAAGTTTGACTTTCGCATTGAAAGAGGCATAGCGGTGCATGAAGGAACGTTGGGCGTCCGAAGGTGTTGTTCGTCGGAACGCAACTTTCAGCGGGCCCCGACGTTTTCCAACCAGCCCGCGTTCGCCAGGATCCCTTGGTGAAGCACCTCCGGCGCCCACCGCTCGCGGAGGCACTCGGAGTGGATCGCTTTCACCAGAGGCTTGAAATGCGTGGCAACAACGATCGTCGAACTGGATGGCCCGATCTGTCAGAGTCGATCAAGCCTCGCGAGCCCCATGGGGCGGGGCGGGGGAAGGGGGGGCGCCTGCGCACTCACTCAGCACTGCGCAGCCTCCGCCGGACCAAGACCAGAGACCCTTGAAACATCGAAACGTTGTCCGTGGGATCTGCTGGCTCCTGCACGGAACCCATAGAAAAGCCGCAGGACATTGCAGTTGCAGAATATCCGCAACTGCAAACGACATAATGAAAGAGGGGGCGGCACGACGCCAAGATGCTCAAATGTTGAGAAACCCGTGGGTTTGCACGCAAACCAATAGATCCCACGGGAAATCGCCTCAGGAAACCCATCAAACGTTACGCGGCCAAGCGCGACTTCACATCGAGAGGCGTCAACCCGCGGGCACTTGGTCAGAGGGGCAAGGTGACCCGGCGAGTGGCAGGGACAATCGGTTAACTGCAAGCGTCGATCTGGTGAGCCCGATGAGAACACTCCGAAAATATCAGTGACCCAGGAAGGATTTGATGGGCGCCAAACAGAAACGGCGAGCGATATCATAAGCACCAAGGGAGGGGGAGGCCTCGTGGCCGAATCATCTCAACGGGCCGCCACCGAGCTATCGACCGCGGCTGAGAGCGGGGCACGGGACCGCACCAGCGCAGGGCAAAAGCGAGGTCGCCACCCACAGCCACGTGGTCCCTTGTGTCCGCTTCAATTCTCTCCAGCTCGCGCGTAACATCCCGCAATGCCTGACGAGAGGGCAACAGGGAGAGCAGTGGCTATCCCTCGGCATGGCCGCCGAGAACATAAAGGGTAAAGAACCGGGGGGTGGAATGCTCTCCTCAGGCCAACCATATGGCCGGGGGAAGCCGACGATACGGCCTACCCTGGCCCAGGGTAGCATAGGTAGGGCCTACCACAGGCGCTAGGACTAGGGGTATGGGGTAGGCCTACGGCAGGCCTAAGTAAGTCAAGGTCGGCCTACGGCATGGTCGTGGTAAGCCCAGCAGGCCTCGGAAGGCCGAGGCAGGCCTAGGAAATGCCGGTGGTAAGCGTTGGTAGGCTTAGGTCGGCCTAGGCGTAGAAAAATCGAATCAGGCCTAAGGTGGGAGTAACCCTAGGTAGGCCTAGGGTAAACCTAAAAAGGCCAAGGTCGGCCAAAGCAGGCCTGGGGTAGGCCTAGGTAGGTCTAGGGTAGGCCTCACCTCCAGATTCTATCTTGGACGGCGGCGGCATGACAAGCGGGCTGTTCCCCGAACTGCCGGGGATCGACACGTCCGCTGCGTTGCCGCGGGAGAACCATCGCCTTCATCGCCATCCCAATCCACTTCGCGGCGGCGCCGCGGTGACTGCGATCCCGCCGCTGCCCCTCCGCCGCTGGGCGCAGGCCCCAGCCCAGCATCGACTGGAGAAGCTGGAATATGTGCGGACCTCGCCGACCGCCTCGCGCGAATGACCCGGCGCCCCTCGCCCTGCGTGTTCGGGATGCGGAATGCCATCTTAACTGCCAGAAGCAACTTGAACGCAATATGAGCTAGGGCTGACGGCCGAGGATGGGTGGTTGGGTGGGGCGTCAACCGATTCAGGAGTCGGATGTGTGTGAGGAGAAAGGAGAGGAATATGATGAGGTATCATAGAAATGATGAGACGGCGTGAGGAGTGAGATTGCCACTGCAGATGATGATGATGATGATGATGATGATGATGATGATGATGATGATGATGATGATGATGATGATG